TAAAGAATACGACATTTATGTTCTACAAAAATGCGTTATTTCCCGAGTTGCAACTTTTACAAGGATTTGTGAACCATTTATTTTGGGATGGAATAGTTCCTCGTTTAGGTAGAGAAAAGGCCTTAATATGGGCAAACAAACTAAAAGTTATCCCGAAAAACTGTCCTTGCGATGTATTTCAAGGAAACGCTGGCCGGAAGCTTTTAAAAGAGTCGCATAAACTTCTAGATGAAGATATTTATGAAGGCATTGGAATTTTCCATTAAGTACCATTTGTAACAGCAATTCAAGGCTGTGAACAAAGTAGATACTTGCTGTTTTTCTTCTTCAAAAATGCATGATGATGTAGATACTTGTTTGACTGAGTTAGAAATGCTTTTCAGAGCTTAAAAATTACAGTGACATTGAAAATCCTTGTGCTCTTGACACATTTAAAAGATTCCTTGATCTTACTAATAACCACGGAACGGATTTTATGGAAATTGCCGTTTTTTCTGCTAAAGAGATAGAGTATATTCGATTAAGAATGTCCACGATTTAGCTTTCCCTGATTCCATATATACACATTTGATGTTGCCTTTTTTGCCTTTTTTTTTTTGCCTTTTTTAAGATATTTGCCTTTTCTACCTTTAAAAAAGTGATTATAGCATTTACAATTTTTTTTTAAGATTAAAAAATATACAGATGCCCATGCGGCTTATAGAAGCGCAGGGACCTCTTGCCAAATTGGTGTTGGAAAAATTCAAAGCCGTTTTCTCAGCTCACGTAGGCTTGGAGATAATAAGGGGTGTGGATAAAATTGTAAAGGGCGAGGAAGGCGCCCTTATTCCTGATAATATGAACGTTTCAAACGTTCCATATTTAAATTGGGCTCCACTTGTATCAACTTACGTCGAGCACACATTTAGTACATTCAAGGCTTTTCTTCGCGAAAATCGAATGAAAATGCTGCCAGAAAACTTCAAAATGCATCTTGTGGTTCAATGTTACTACAACTATTCGGATTAAAGTTTTATGAGTTAGAAACTCGAAAGGATAAAATAGTCAAAGATTCAAAGTACAAATTTTTCATATAATGAAACTAGTTCATAGTTTTTCTCTTTTTAATTGTAATATAAACATTTGGTCGGCCGCTGTGGTATAGTGGTAAGCAGTGCGCGCTTCCACCCCGCAGCACCCGGGTTCAAACCCTGGTCAAAGCAACATCGCAAAAAATATACAAAAAAGGTTTTTTCTTAACAAATTAAAAGTAAAAATTACGGTTTAGATTTTGAATACCAACATTTCATTATGATATTTACAATAATCGTCCCTCGGCAGGCAATGGCAAACCTCCGAGTGTATTTCTGCCATGAAAAACAGCTTCTCATAAAAATACAATCGCCATTCGGAGTCGGCGTAAAACTGTAGGTCCCTCCGCTTTGTGTGACAACATCAAGGCGCACGCCACAAATCGGAGGAGAAGCTCGACCAAACACTAACATTTGTGTAAGCGCCAATCTATTATTATTTTTAGTTTTTTCGAAAATCGATCAGATAGGATTTCAAGAAAGGCAGTTTTTAGATCTAAGAATATTTATCTAAAAACTGATGAACAAACTTTTTGGATCCATTTTAATCGAACCTATGCATGCTTGAGGATCCCTGTGCTACCCTGATATTTAAGTTTCATATGAATCTAAAGTACATACCGTCCCCTCAATATAACAATAGCGTATAATTTTTTTTGGGTTTTGAGAAAATCGAGTTTAAAGTTTTTGTCAAATCAGATGTCTATTAAAACCTCAATATCGCGGTAAATAAAAATTCTTCATAGTGGATTTTTCGATGAATACATTATACCGTTTCTTGTCTTTAAATTTGCCAAGTTTTTTTATTCTACGCATCCTTTAAGACCATAATTATGTTATTCAAAGCGCAAGTCCTCCATATAGGCCATTTTATTTTTTAAGGAATTCGTATGATGTATCTGATACACTATTTTATTTTGTATGGTATACGCTGTTTTATTCAATAATTTTACGGTATTTTTATTAAAATATTTGATCTCAAAAATATCAATTTGTAACATTATAAAACAGTAATTAATTCATAGTTTTGTTAATTCAGTAGCATTTATTCATTACTTTCCAATTTGGGTTATTATAAACAAAAAATTATGACAAATGAAGGTATACATTGCGTAAATCAAAAATAACTAGAAATTCATTCGTCTTCATTCTCTCCTTCTGCTACATCTGGCTCATCTAAACAATTTCGCTTCTTTCCACCTCGTAAGTTAAAAAAAAAATGACTGCGAGGCACGAGGAATTACACTGTTTTTGCACAAATTTTGAAGATCATGCAGCTTTCGATTACAAATTGGCAGCTCTTTATTGTATTTGCCAGTAAACGAAAAGTTGAACACCTCTTTTGTTTTTCGCGTTCCTCCAATATCAATTACTTTCAAGTCTCCATCCCATTCCTCCTTGTATAATAATTGTTTTCGCTGAATTTTGTTCACTTGGAGTAATTTAACATTAAGCCAATTTACCGAGTCATTTTTTATATTTTTCTTAAGGCTATGGCCTAACCTCGAAAACATGGCTTTGAGATCAATCATATCACTGTATTGAAGCCTCTCTACAGCGTATGGGTTTTTCCGTCTTGCCAGTCTCATTATAGTTGGCCATTCTTCCGGCGAATAAACGCATATACTCCTCTTCGCACGTTCTATTGCAGAGTGCATCGAATCTGCCTCCATTTGTGTGTGTCCGCTTTGGAGGTACTTAATTGTTATCGAATTAAGCTTCAAGGTATTGTTGATATAAATCAATAGTGTAGCAATGAACCTGTTTCTGTTTTGTCCCCCGCAGCAGTCTGAGTAGAGAATAACATCGGTTACCGATTCGTCTAACGAGTTCATCATTTTCCATATTGTGGTCCCAATTTCGTCCGATCCTCGTTGACCCTGATTTTCATCCCATAGAAAACAGTAACCTTCTCCACTGGCAATGTCGTAAAATGTGTTATTATACGTGGCGAACTTTCGACTGTAATACATCGTGCTTACGTTGCTACAAGGAGTCGTTAACACTGACTGGAGGTCAAAAGTAAACACTTTTAAATTACTGTTACTTTTAGCTGATTCCTTGTCAGTTTGCTTGTTAGTTCTTGCCTTTGTCTTATTTAAGATGTGTTCATCATAGGATTTCTGAATGGAGTCTTTGTCCTCAGCGTTTTTGTACCTCTCGCATGTTAAGCAGGTGTCCTTTTTTGGACGGTGGAAAGAATAATTATAATTCATGCAAAATATCCGGCGATAAACGTTTTCTTTAATGATAGCGTCCGGGTGGAGTTCTTTGAATAAATCGTACATTTTTGATATTGTTAAGCCGGAGGCAAGATAAAGTCGTTGACTTTTTGCTCGAGTGTAATGGCTTTCGACGGCTGGAAATGACTCGATGTGCTGTTTGATAAGCGCAACTGTCTCTTCGTCTAATTTTCTCTGGTGGCCATGTTGACCCCTCTTATCAGTAAATTCATTTTGGCACATCTTCTTGGCTAACACAGATATTGCGCCGTCTGACAAGTTCAAAGTATTTAAAAAAAACTTCTTGCATACCTGTTTGGCTTTGAGAGTATAATTAAATGTGTTCGCCCGCCGTGATCCAATTGTCAACGGCCTTTTGCACTTCTCAATTTTCACGCAATTAGCCAGGAACAGTCGCTGCCTCGAATAGTCGCCTAAATTCCAATATTCTGCATTGATCTCTGTGCGCTCTTCTTCTGAGAAGTTTTCTGTGCAATTATGGCGGCACTTACAGTCAATGGGTTTCGGAACACGTTCTTCAACTCTTTTGCCACTCTTAGTGACATACGGGTTCCCTTTGTTGTGATGATACTTCCTTTTTTCTGCACCCATTTATGACTTTCAATCTATTGATCGGAAATATTTCAGAGTTAGACGTGGCTGGACCCAAACAATATTTCTCAAAAGCTGTTTGCTGTACTCACCTTTCTCTTTCGCATAAGTATATTTCTACCATTTTCATTCTTGTTATTGATATAAGTATCACCACAGTCTGCGATTTCTTTTAAAACTACATCTGCTGTCTTTATCACTGAATTATCTAATTCATCTGCCAAAGCCAGTGCATCATCATCCGAATCGGGGACATACTCGTCCGACGATCCTGCAGAGAAGTCTGTACCATTCTCATCATCTGTTTGAGGTATCTCTATGTCCGGCAATCCCACAGCGAAATCAAACTCATCAGTCTTTGGAGCAATTTCCACAACGACTGGTGGTTTCGTGTCACAGCCTGTTGATATTTACCTTACTTACTTCACTTACATTATATAATAGACGATACTCACTCAGATGTTTAAAATCCATATTTTTAATGAACAAACTTTCTCTGCGAAATGAATTTGCAAGCTGAAATTTCAAATGACTACAATATTTCCTTGGCATTCATGTAGTCAAAACAACGTAAAAATCGCATAGGCTACTACTCTTGTAAATTTCTGATAAAACTTTCGAATTTGTATTGAAAATAAAACAGCTTATGTGGGGTATAGAAATGGTCGGAATAAAACTATTTCTCAAACAATAGTGTATATTATTATAAGCTATTTTATGAGTTAAAGTTTTGATAAATTGTATTTATTTCTACAGGCTAAAATGGAGTATAATGCGCATACACTATTATTCTTTTAACAACTTTGCAGTGGCAATTTCAAGTAAAATAGCGCATATGAGCTTATACACTTATTGAAGGAAATTTTTGAACAAGAAATTATACACCATTTTTTCCAATGACATTTTGACCCACTTTGTGGAAGTAGAATTTGACGAAATTTTGACCAGACATAGAATCAATGATGGAGATTCTAAATATGCAATAAAAAATAATGGCGTATGAGCACATACGCTATTGTTATATTGAGGGGACGATACATATGTATAATATATTTTTTATGAACAAATATTAAAAATAAGCTTACTTCTCTTATAGGCAATTATCTCCAAAATGTCAAATGTTATTTTTTTCCGCTACTTATGATAAAGAAGTTATGAATTTCGCTCAGCATATTGTGCCGGATCCAACAATTATAAGGTAGGTATAAATATGCAATATATATATATATTTGCGTTGATTTTAAATTTGTTCCAGACTTATGCGTGAGCAGGAATCACTTGAAAATATCAAACAATATTACGTTAGATGTATGAATGAGGAGGATAAATACAATGCTATACAAAATATTTACGCCGGAATAACAATTGGACAAGCTATAATATTTTGCCATGTATGTACGTCATAATTAATTGTATTACGAGTATACAATAAATTTTATTTAGACACGCAAAACCGCAGGATGGCTAGCTGGCAAGATGTCATCCGATGGCCATTCGGTTGCTGTACTCTCTGGAGATTTGACTGTGGAGCAACGACTTGCTGTTTTGGATCGATTCCGAGCTGGTCTTGAAAAAGTGCTCATTACAACAAACGTACTTTCTAGAGGTAAGAAATAAATGCATACATATTCAGCGATCTAATATTTTGCTTAGTAATTGACCAATGATATTCTCCGATTTGTGGTGTGCATCTTAAACATAGAGACATACACAGTATTAAGCTGTCTCCGAAGGGCTAATGGCTTCAATGGTAGTATTATCATTTACATAATGTGGGACTAGGCATTGGACCTGGATCCCCCCAGTGATAGTACGATTTAACATAGTTTGACTTATAGCTCAGTTATGCATACTTGGTACTGTACAGAATGACAATTTTACGTAGAAATCAAATACCAACAGACTTCTACATATGTAATGCTGGCTTTTAGCCCAGTTATGCATACTTAGCTTTGCATGAGAGTTGTCACATAAGAATATGTTAAACAGGTTTTGTGTGTAGGCGGTTACCCAACGCATAGCACTTAACATGTAGAATTCTGTTGGGTTTTGATTTTTACGTAAAAATTGTATAGCAGTGCAAGTATGCATAACTGGGCTATTTGGGTAACCGCTTACACGCAGAGCTCATTTAACAGATTCCTTATGTGACAACTCTCATGTAATGCCAAGTATGCATAGCTTTAGAATTGGTTTATAATAGGGGTATTCATCTAAACGTGTATACTAACGAAACGTATAAATTAAAGAGTTACGTGGGAAGCAAATATCAATCAAATATGTATTATTCTAAACAAGCAAATCCTCGGATCTGATGATATTTTCGGAATTTTTTTTTAAATTTATGTACCTTGTGTAAACGACTTCTCATACAAATTGTGATAGCTTACGAGGCTGTATATGAGGCATTATTTTGTAAGTCGGACTGATTTGGTAAAAAAGGATGTGATGTCTCCGATTCGCTTAAATTTTTGTATGGATCCTATACGTGAAATAAGTTAACATGCATTCGAGGATCTTTTTCTTTCTTTTCTTTGGAGATATGATCTGCCAAGTTAAGATTTTTTCGTGATTCTGACTATTCATGTACTTCTTCAAATCGATATGTCTCCGGTTCTGCTCATCGAAGGGACTTCATCTTAACGTCGTTTTAAAGTAAAAGAAACGAGCTCAATATTTCTACATACATACATACATATAAGATAATCATTATTGTCCTAGAGCTATCTTAGCTATGAACAGTTGAACTTTTTGAAGTTGATTTAATTAGTGAAGGCCAGTAATGGGTCGATTACGGATAGCAACGTAACTGAAGAGAAAATGTGTGTTATCGATAATCGAAATTTGACAGTACGGCAACCAGCAAGTGGCTGTAAACAAGCTGTGCTAGTAAAATGAAATTATTAAAATAAAGAGTTTTAAATAAAAGTCTGCAATAATGCTAAGTTCAGTGTCCTATTCTTCGAAGAGGGAAAGCAGCGCATGAACGCGGCCTCAATCGGGCCGCAACGCAAAACATATTTAATTTACCTATTCCTCACATTTTATTCAGTAAATGAACTCCATCTTAATCTAGAATAATAGTGTATAGTGTATGCATACATATGTACTTATGCAGTCGGTGTGCTTGAATTTAAAAAAAAAAAACATCACTAAATAACGCACCAAGCAATGAATTCCAATTATTTTAGCTTTTTGATTTTCCAAATACACTAAATTCAGTGCAAAATGCACGACGTTGGCAACAGTGAGCTGAGCACATCCATGCTCAAACAGTGATGCCGGCCCAAGTATTTCATTTCATTTCTTTATTAAGTCTACGGTTACAAACCTTACAGACTAGAGGTACAACATCAACTTAAAAATAAAGCTTACAAACGAAATTACATCATTAGAGATAATTGGATTCAAGCTTTGATCAAAATAAGGATCTAGGAAGAGCGAAATCTAAATCGAGGCTACTAAATATACTATTTACCTCAGTTAGGAGCCTTACCCTTATAATAGGAGCGAATTTTAAGTAATTAGATTTGGCAGTTTTCACATGACACGGGTAACGAAAGCGGAGTGCTCGATGGGGAACGTTAAAACATATCTGCTCAAGCAGATCAGAACAATTAATTACGCCACAGATTATGTCGTAAATGAACATTAGCGAATGTATAATGCGGCGAGAAGCAAGAGATTTCATATTTATTAACATACATCGGGCCCCATAAGACGGAAGAAGCTCACTAAAACCAAGAGGTTGCAGAGCAAAGCGGACAAAACTACGTTGGACTCTTTCAATTCTTTGGGAGTGAGTGGAATAAATTGGATTCCAACGCGCACAGACGCGTAATCCAATTTTGATCTAACTAGAGAATTATAAATGGATTCCCTTGTTTAAGGATATCTAAAGTCTCTCGCATAGCGACGCAGAAAAGACAAGTTAGAATAGGCCTTAGGAATGATAAAACTTATGTGGTTGACAAAGGAAAATCCTGAATCAAAAACCACGCCAAGATCCACAAATTCATTTACAACAGATGAGAAAACGTTAGAAAGGGTATAGTTGAGGTAATAGGATTTAGAATTTTAACAAAAGTCATGTGAAAACATTTATTAATATTGAGCGATAATTTATTTGTGAGACTCCAGTCAGTTAGATTATTTAAGTCAAAGCAAAAGTGAAATACCCGACAAGTAGGTAACACTTCTGAAAATTTTAAAATCGTCTGCATAGAGTAGAAACCTCGAATGGTTAAAGCAGCTCCCAATATCATTTATAAAGAAAACAAACAATAGCGGTCCTACGATACTGCCCTGAGGGACACCGGAGGTGGCTACGAAAGGATGTGATTTAATATTATCAATTTCTATATATGTGATTCTGTTCGAGAGATATAACCTTAACCAGGAAAGAAAAGTTGAATGGAAACCAATTGAGTAAATCCACTATGTATATTTTTATTTTAAAGGAAAAGTTCTAATTGGTGAAGGTATTGATTTTTGGTTCTTACATAGAACCAGTGTTGCCGTTTTAGCCCTTTGGTGGCTAGATTTAGCTACCACATACTTTTTCTGGCCACATAAATTTAAAATTGTCCCTATCCCTTTTTTTTAGCCCTTTGGAGAATTTATTCATACTTGGCATGAAAAAATTGTATATGCTTTGATCTCATTTGTTTTTCAATTATGTAAGAGATGTATTTTTAAACTAAGAAAGACTGATATACAGATGTATATACATATATGTATTGTATGTTCCTTACGTTTTTATACATACATACTGTAAAAGTGTTAGGGCTGTTAACTTATCTATTAACGATTTAACTATAGTTTAAAATAGATAAGTTTACGGCCCTTAGGGCCAGTTTTTCAGTGCCAGTTTAAACTCAGATTAAGGAAACTGAGTTAATTTGCGCTCGCTAATTGAACAGCTGGCTGACATTTGATTGGCTGATCTGAGTTTAAACTAGCCAGATCGGATGTTTAAACTTAGTGTAAACCACGGCCGTGCACTGAAAAACTGGCCCTTAATATGGTTAATTTGTTAAATGGCCTATCAAGGCGATTGACCGTGTATGTTCTTGTGGTGTGATTGTACCAGCTGCTAGTGCGACTTAAAAAACTATTTGAAAATTTGATGATTGTCGTGAGTGGTGAAATTAGCTAAATTTTCTAAGTAAAAAATATTTTGGCGGAAATTTATTGCACTATATGAGTCAAGGCCGTGTTTGTGGAATATTAAGTTCACGATATTGCAGTTTTGAATTAAAATAAAAAACAATGTTTAACAAAATGGTAGAAAAATTATGAATTTTCGGCTCTTAATTATTTCGATCTTTTCTCGCCCTCAGCTGTAACGAAATAAATATTGTACCAGCATGCTGGTAAGTTATATGCTTGGAGCCTGATGGTACAATCACTTGATAGAGCCAGCATGCTGGTTAGGCTGGGTCGATTTTGTATGGGGAAAATAAAAGGCATTTGACCTTATTGTAATAGTAATATTATGATGTCTTAGGTCTAAGCCAATTGTTATTGGCCACGAAAGATTAATTTAAAACTTATCTTTAGCCCGCGCAATTGAATCAAAGTGTATGAAATTTTAAAATTTAACTTTGGCTTGTAATATCTATGGTATGCGTTAATTGTTATAAATAGGACGATATATCAAATTAAGGGTTATTAAATTTAGTATCTCACGTTCAGTTATAATTTTTCAATAAGTCTACACGTTTTTAAGGTATTAAGATAAAACTCACAAAAACTATAATTTTCCTTTATGAATTTTCAATTCTTCATTGCTTCAGCAGCCAAGTGAAAAATTCAAAAAAGTGAGACGAGATATATTTCAAACGTTCTAATGTTTTCGGATGTTTATATAATATTAAGTGGGCCATGGGCCGATTTGGTCAGTTTTCAAGATTGTGGTGAATGAAGTCAAACATGTATTGTCAAAGATTACGAATCGTTTGATAATTTAATAGTAGTTTCAAGAATAGAAGTATTTATATACATTAACATAATACAATTAGGGTGAGAAACGCCCATTTTAAGTCCATTTATGCAGTCTTGAAAATTGTTCGCGGTCTCTAATTCTGCCGTTATATGAAAGTAGGGGACGTGCAATAAGTGTTTAGATATACATAAATATTTTAGTTAATTCCATGATGTGAAAAAGTGACTGTAGGTAAATGCAATAGTATTTAACATATCCTGGGAAATCCTTTTGAGGACTCTCCAATTGGACGATATTGCTTTGCATTTAGCTTGAACGAAAAAAGTCACTCCCTGACACCCTTTTCCGTAATCCGGCTCTTTCATTTAAAAGTTATTTATACAATTTAAGAGAATTTTTTTTAGAAAAAAGCTAGAGATCCACTTAAATTTTTCCATATAACTTTGGTAAATGTTACTCGATCGGTACTTAATAATTACCAAATTGAAGGCGTGACTTAATGCTACCGATTTTTGATAATAATATGATTAAAATCGCTCAGATTATAAACAAATTATTTTAAAACAAAAAAAAATTTGAACAAAGTTTTTTGTTATTTTCTTATATTTGCAATTTTTATATTGTATGCATGAATATAAGTAAACCAATTAGTGTTTCTA